GGCTGAAGCCGCGTAGAGTGCATTGTCTAAAATTCCACCCTCGGTGTTAGTCTTGGCGCCCTTGTCGAGCAGCAACTTCACCACCGCCTTGTGGCCTCCAGCTGAAGCCGCCTGGAGCGCGTTGATAACCACTTTTGTCATCTGAACTTCGTCGTCGCATTGTTGAAGAAGAAGGGTTATAATGTCCCTCCCGTTTCTCACATTTTTTACAGCGGCTTTGACTACTGCTTCTGTTACCTTAACTTCGCCTCTGCGTTCTTGGAGAAAAAGACGCATGATATCCCTCCCACTTTTTTCGTTTCTTACAGCGCCTTTGATCATATCCTCTGATAGTGGTACCTCGAGTCCTCGCCGCACTAGGAAATGTTCTACTCCTTTTATATCAGATGTTCTTACAACTTCTAAGAAAGATGTAGCATTTCGAGAGGTAAGATCCTCTAAGAGCTCTGGCATTGTCTCGTAGGAAACATCTGATGGTCCAAACAAGAACAAAGAAGTATCACGGATGACTTCCTGAAGACCTTTCGTATAGTCTGGACGTAGACTATTAGCGTTCCAAGCGTCAGAGGATATTCCCAGTAAGGCGTAGACTTTGTCGCGTGGATCGCTCGCTTCGCTCTCGCTGAACTTCAGCAGGAGGTTGTACAGGTCTCTGTTCTCGCTCCACCAGGACTCTTCCCGTAAGCGGCCAGGCATGATGTCCAAGACGGCTTGACAATGACGTTCTGGTTTAATGCCTATGAGCGACGGAGCAAGGGCAAAGGTATGTGCTCTGACAGACTTGGTGCCACACCAGACACTTGCTTTCTTCGCATTGGCTATTTCCTGCAAGATCCAGACTCTTCTGAACCACGATCTCCTTAAGAGCAGATCCAGGCCTTTGTGTGGCTCAAAACCTGGATCTCGAAGATCTAATAGCCAGAATGTGGTCCACTGTGCCAGGTCCCAGTGTCTGTGCCCATGCATCAAACTATATCCGTCCAGTCGCCGAAGAGAGTCCATAAGGATATTGGTTTCCTCAGTTGCTTGGCCCAACCAGACAATTACCTCCTCCGCTTGCGAATAGATCTTGCACATCTGTTGAACTTGATGTCCTCGCTCCCTTTCGTTGTCTTGATCGATACAAATAGCATCAACCCAGAGTACTCTGTCTATATCTTCCGAGCGAAGATGTTGAAGGGCTGAGTGTAGGTTTTTAGTAACATCAAATGTCTTCCCATTGACTATCACAGTAGAAGTCTTGTCCGTGCCGCCCCAAGTATATGATAAAGCATCGTATGGAACAGTGTCGGTACCATCGAGGTAGGCCTGATACAGCATACACTCGATAGTCGGCCCTTTGCCTCGTAGTAACTGTAGAAGTCGGAATGCGGGACGATCGAGATCGATCGGTTCGTAAATGAGGATGTCCATCTGTACCCTGCACTAAAATACTTCGTCATTAGCTAGAGGGTCTAAGGCTAAGAGGTTAGAGGCTAGGCTACCCGACCCTGATAGTATAGAGCTACAGAGTTCGACAAGTGTAGTAGGAAGAGGACATGCACCAAGTCCTCAACTATTAAAGATAAGCATTACTTGCGTTCCTAGAAATGATGGTTGGGAGTACGTTATGAGCTGAACAGCACAAGGCAGAAGCATAGTGGGCTGGCAGAGCTGAAGGCACGAGCTACTAAATGTGGCAGTGCAAGGCTGAACCTATGCAACCCTCACTCCGCTTGCCAAAGCCTAGACTCGGATCTTGGTATTCTGTATCATGCCATGCCCGCTGTGAGACCTGCCCACCTTGTTCTTTAGACGCCACATAACTCGTGATATTTCCCTTCAACAAGGTGAAGCAAGATCCGGCTACTGCTTAGTGTATGTATCGGTTGCGATGTGATCGGGAAGTACGAGGACGTGGCGGGTTGGACGAGGGATCAACGACGGGTCTGCGGAGCTAGAGGGCGGCGCGATGGTTTATCTCTATGGCTTGGAAACTTTCGCGCTAGCTATAGTTATCTATTACACTGCTTCTCGAAGTGGCACAATAGCTGTGTCGGAAGCTAGTTGCGGTTTCCACGCTGGATGTGTTCGTTGACGCGAGCTAAATGCTGGGGCGTTTTCGGGTGTCCCGGAGCGCTTGGCAAAAGCGTCGCACAGCCACACAGCTACATGGCCATATAGTTATGTAGCGTCAGCAGCGATAGATTACAGCTAAGCTGTTTCGAGCTAGGTGTGCGGGACCTACTTGTCTAGCACTTCTAGCAGGCGGACTTGGAATTAGCACAGAAGCACAACAACCTCTTAAGCTTAAGCGCCATGCTCGGGATAGGATAATAATATAGTAAGCTGTAAGCTGACGGACTTTCGTCGAGATACATAAGTTTTTAATGCACCTACTACTAGCTAAAGCGAGGTGGATATATAACGCTTATACTTAATTCTTGTATTGCACGGTAAGTAGAATCTATTTCTAAAACATATGAAGATCGGATGAACTTTAGATATCGAGGCTAATATCCCGAGAATATCTGTTCTTCTAACCTGTTGTTCAGTTTGTTATATATGGGAGTATCGGTGGCGTCCCATCACGCAGGGTGTCCTGTTATACAGGGACGGACGTTACCAGGATCCAGAATGAAGGCGCTGTTTAGAATACACCAACTAGTGCACACAGAGTTTGTATGGTGGCTGGAGAGACATGGTGAGCGCGAAAAGTGGCCGGGCGCAGCAGCAGCCCGAGCTGAGGCACCGGGACCGTTTGACGAGCATGGAAGAAAGCAAGTACGGAGTGCATACCTCCAGCATGCAATATCCGCGACCGGACTCGTCAACTCTGTACCCGGCGGTACGAGGACTTTACTGTTAGAAGCAATAGGGCAGTATCAGAAGCGGCTAGGACAATATGGGCCGGTAGAAACAACGTATCCAATAGCCTCATCGTTGAGCACGGAGATTCTAGGGCCTGAGCATCCCTTTACATTGATGAACAGAAGCAGATTAGGGTTAGTGCTTAATAGCCAGGGTAAGCACAAGGAAGCTGAGGAGATAAACCGGCAGACGCTCGCACAGTACAAGAAGGTGCTGGGGCCTGAGCACCCAGACACACTGACGAGCATGAGCAACTTGGCATTGGTGCTGAATAGCCAGGGTAAGTACAAGGAGGCTGAGGCAATGAACCGGCACACGTTAGCTCTGCGAGAGACGGTGCTAGGGCCTAAGGACCCAGACACACTAATGAGCATGAATAACTTAGCGGGAGCGCTGAGCAGCCAGGGCAAGTACGATAAGGCGGAGGCGATGTACCAGCAGACATTAGCGCTGCGAGAGAAGGTGCTTGGGCCTGAGCATATAGATACACTCACGAGCATGAGTAATCTGGCGGGAATACTGAAAAGCCAGGAAAAGTACGATAAGGCGGAGGCAATTCACCGGCAGACGCTGGCTCTGCGAGAGAAAGTGCTCGGGCCTGACCATCTAGACACACTGACCAGCGTCTATTGCCTTGCATATATCCTTGCCAAACAGCATCACGTAGAGGAGCCTTTATGTCTGTATCAGCGGGCATATGCTGGATACGACTCGATCCTTGGAAAAGGCCACCCCGCTGCCTTGGTATGTCACCAGTACTATGATGACCTGCGCTCGTTGCAAAAGCATTAGCCTGCTTGTTCTCTCAACACGCTAGAAAACGGTGCAGACATATCTGCGAGGATGGAGTCGAGACTATCAGGCGTGTTAACCAAGACTGGCATTAGGAAATGGAAGAATTTGAGAGGATGGAACGGTTGGGTTTTGTTACAGAATTTGTGACTTTGTTTTTCCTATCTTGTGAGGGTAACTGGGTGATATGAAGTTCTTGAAATCATATGAACGTGCTCGGTCTAGTTCCCCTATTTTGAAAAGCGTCCTTTTGGTCATAATACACACACACACAATTTATTTACGCCCGGCGGCCGCGCCGAAAGGGCTACTAACACTAGTCTAACTTTACACTTCTTA